ATATACATATATATACTAGGTTGTTTTTTTGTTTGTTTGTTTTTTGTTAGGTTCTGATAAGCCATCTGCCCTGTTCTGCAAGTGTAGTGCTTTTTTCTTCTATATTTTTTAATGGATTTTTATTTCCTTTTTGTGGTGGACAAGGAAGTACGACGGAACACCGAAAAAGCGTCTACCAAGACGATAGGCTGTCTGTCTGTCTGTCTGTCTGTCTGTCTGTCTGTCTGTCTGTTTGTCTGTCTGCCTCTTGTCTGTCTGTCTGTCTGTCTGTCTGTCTGTCTGTCTGTCTGTCTGTCTGTCTGTCTGCCTGCCTTGGTAAACCAAAGTTCCCCACTGTGAACCAAACAAAAAGTAGTCTTTTTCTTAATTTTTATTTTATTATACGGTACTCACTTATTTTAACAACTTTTGTGGGAGTGGTTGGCGGGTGTTCTAGTGTGGTTTGCTCCTTCTTTTTCTGTTTACTTGTCGTCCTTATCACTCCTTCCTCTGTTATTGTATGTTACTCTCTCGTTACACCTTTAATCTTAGGCACTTATCTGACCTATTTGTGTTGCAACTTCAGCACTTATGTGACCTATTTATGCAAGTTCCGTAAAACTTAAAAAAAAAAAAACAACAACTGAATAACATGTTTGTTTTTGGGGTTTTTTTCTGTGCAGGGTTCCCCTACAGGCATGAAATACAAGCGCTACCCACCGAGGGCAAGAAGCTGGGCTTGTACTGGCCGGGGGAGAACTACTTCGACCAGGTCAGTTTGTGGGTTATTCATTATAATATATCATCACTGCACGAGCAAATTATCATAATGCAACTAGCTTTTTATTTTGTTTGGTGATACGTATTTTATCTGTCTTTTGGTTAAATCAAATAAAAAATGCGCTGGCAGTCACGAAAGAAACATGCATGGCAAGTTTTACCATTATTAGATGATAAATAGTTTAGTATATATAGTTTTTTCCCTTTATAAAAAAAATAGCTAATATGAGATGTGTCATGTCGCTAGTGCAGAGATGATATATTTGTGTGTCATCGTGCTGAAATCAGGCGCTTATCGAAGCGAAGACATTTTGATTTTAATCAGAGAAACCATCATTTTTTCCAACCGTTGAGGAATTTTTATTGAAATGTTTTGTGGGTTTAAAAAAAATGTTGGATCAACATCTTTTACGTCCTTTTGAAAACATGCTGAAAAAAGTTGATCAAAGACACAAAAAATTTTCAGCCATTTTCTCTGCTGCAAATGGCACTTTCATATATAGGTTCTCATATCAAACCTGGAAATTATTTTAAAATTGTTTTAATTGATAAACAATCTTCCCCATGACTTATTCCTCAGCAATCCAAAATCCACGGCAACCGACAACAGTTCTATCCAATCCCGCCCAAGCAGACGGCACCAAACCTCCAGGACCGGCCCTTGGACCAGCAGCTGTCGGACAAGTCCCAGAACGTTCTACGGAACATCGAGAGAAACCAGTGGATACCGTCACAAAAGCTGGACTACACAGGTCTTGGCCCGGCAAATCCCATGTCTCTGGACAATCTGGACTGTAAGAGGGAAGCGTTGTTTCAGACTGGAGAACCAGATGATAAGTTGGTGAGGAAACTCTTTTCATTATTATTGGAGAGGAGGGGGGTGGGAAATGATTTTTCATCTAAGTTTTAGTATCTAATAGGGTAATCATAGTTATAATAACAATAATGATAATTAAAATAATATTTATAATAATAAGGAAAATTATAATGATAATAATGATGATAATAATAATAATAATAATAATAATAATAGTAATAGTAGTAGTAGTAACAACAACAACAACAACAACAATAATAATGATAATAATAATAATAATAATAATAATAATAATAAAAATAAAAACAATTATGATGGTAATAATGATAGGAATAATGATAATAATGCAGATAATGACTATTGTGCCCATTTCCATTCCATACAGCTTGAGGTACTCATCTTAACACGACACTCAAGTGAATAAACACAGGGGCATAGGGCATTACCAAAGAACAATCAAGATTTTCTGTTAGCTTAGTGTGCCACTAGCTGCCATGGACATGGGAGACTTTTACACAAGACTAACGTGGTCACAAATGACAATTTCCCCAGTACCCGAGATCTATCAACACGTTTGATCCGGCTCGGCCAATGGAAGGCCGGCTGCGCAAGTTGTTTGCTCCGACACCACCGAGACAGACCATGCTTGAGAGTGGAATGAAAGCTAATCCAGAGCACAGGAGGTATGTGGAATTTTAGAACATGTTTCTTCTTCTTCTTCTTCTTCTTCTTCTTCTCCTCCTCCTCCTCCTCCTCCTCCTCCTCCTCCTCCTCCTCCTCCTCCTCCTCCTTCTTCTTCTTCTTCTTGATCGTATTACACTTGAAGTCCGGTATCTCAACGTAAAAGCACAAGAAGGTATCTGTCATAAACTGGGCCATTCTGCTCTGTTCATCTCTCAGCCCATGTAGCTTCTCCTGTAGTGTCAGTGGGGTTGGCCACGTTGCCTGTCTCAGGGCCCTGTGTGTCCTGCAGTGCTGAAGGATGTGTTCCACAGTTTACATATTTTTTAAAATGTAGGTGTTTTTATTCCCCCATCAACACAATTTAGATTATTTAGGAGGCAGGCTTCTGACCAATCCCTGTCAGGATCAACTGGGGCTGACAGGGATACAATATCCCAACAGAAATATTGAGATTCTTCATTAAAATTTCTCCCCACTCGGAAATATAGTTAAGGTCTTCTGTGTGCACCAGCAAAGTGTCTAACCGCTACATCACATATGCCAGTGGGAATAGTACCATTATTGTAACTGTAAGTTATTATCTGTTTTCTCAAAATTTTCAAAATTGTGTCATGGGTGTGTTAAAACACTCGTGTTACACTTTGTCAAAGTTATCTGTGTTTTTTCTACAGTTAACAATTTCTTAAGTTAAAGTATTGTCAATGTTTTTTCCAAAAATTAACAATTTCTTAAGTGTTGTCAGTGTTTTTCCAATAGTCAACAATTACTAAAGTTTTATTAAAGCGTTATCTTTCCTTTTTCAATTGCCAACAATTAATATACTAAAGCGTTGTCATTGTTCCTCTAATGGTCAACAATTACTAAAGTGATGTCTTTGTTTTTTCAATAGTCAACAATATACTAAAGCGTTGTCTGTGTTTTTCCAATAATCAACAATATACTATAACACTGTCTGTGTACTGCCAGGAAACTGACTCTCACTGAGAGAGAAGAAGATCGACTCCTTAACGGCAAAGAGTACGTGAACCTGCCCTGTGACCCCAATGACCCCCAGAAGGACATGAGGTGGCAAGACATAGACCACTCTGCCCGCCCAGAACCACGACTAGAGAGACTTAACACCGCTCAGCAGGTTAGACTAAACTCATTAACTCCTTATCTCTGGCAACCTGCTCCCACTGGCTTGCAGTTGGAACTGCTGTTCCGATGAGCCGCTGGCAGCAGCTCGGGCACATTTCCTTACGATGACTTCAAAGTCAAATTGCTTTTTGGCAATTTTTATAAATAGGTCTCTTTTACCGGGAGTTCATTCATTCGATGAAGAGCTATCAAAATAGGTTCACTTGGTTTGATTTAACTCTTTTTATCCTAGCCGTACCCCTACGGACTCTGTACCAGTCCTGGGGCCGCCGTGCCGTATGAGTCGGAAGTCAGTGCGTATAGTTCAAAGTGCTATATTTCTTACATTTACTCTAAGGTTTTAAGGAAATTTGACAGTTATGTTAGAAATTGAATATAGTTTTTGTAAATGTATGTGGTTAGGAAATACAGCAATAGCACAATGTAGATTTTGAGGTGTATTCCACCCTCGAGCTTGATCCTGATTACCGCGCCCACGATGTCCCATTGGATTTTATAGATCTAGATCTAGCCCTACCCATCGAGCACGAATTCCAGTACTGACCCCTTCATCATGATCTGAATCGCTATTAGACGAGTTTAAGTCCTGTTTCTTATCATCCACAACGGAATTTACGGCACTTATTTCAGAGTCACTTTCATCAAATTAGTATCATTCCCCCTCACAACTCAGCGCCACTTCACCTTCAAAAAGTACTTCGTGGGTTGTGAATGTGCGTTTTCAAGACATCTTTCAAGCTTCTACACCCATCAAAAACAAAGAAACCACTGTTCATTGGAAAATTAAAATATTCAGACAGAGCTAGCATCGCTGTATATTGCATATTTTGGTAATTACAAGCAGAACTAGCTTCTTTGATGTGACCATATCGCTGTTCGGAGAATACTTGTAGTCCGGACTGGTCCTCGTTATGAGTATACTCGTAGCCCGGGTAAAAAGAGTTATGACCAATTTAGTGACATATATGTCACTTTTAGATTTCATTCCAAAAGAGGCCCCAGCATAGTAAGTTTACCCCCCCTCAAAGATAAAGAGCTAAGGATGCGCATTGCTTTCTTTCTTCAGTGCTTGAAGATATGCTGTTTTGGGGAGGTTTAATAAAGGAAGGTGGATGTGGTGGCAGAGCGGTTAGTGTGCTCGTCTCCAAAGTGGAAAATCCGGGTTCGAGCCTCGGTTCGGATATAGATTTTTTTCTCCCCCTCCTGCCCACCCAGCAGTAATGGGTACCTGACTTCGAGTTGGGGAAGTAAGGGCAGCATGGAAAGGAACTGGCCACCCTACCACAATATGCCGAAGGCCCAAAAAGTTGTCTCTCTAACAAGGCAATCCTCAATGTCTGGATCAGAAATGGGAACTACTTTATTTTTTTAAATAAAGGAAGCATCATTTCATTATTTACTTTATTTGAAACTTGAAAAATGCAGGCAGCAACTTGTATATTCAAATCTTTTCTCTGATCCGTGTATGCCTGTGACAGTTCGAAATGTGCTGTAACCCAAAACACAAGTGAATGAACATGGGGGCTTTATCAAAGTACGATTATGATTTTCTGTTAGCTTAATGTGCTAGGCCTACCTGTTGCCGTAGACATGGTAGACTTTTACACAACCCTAATGTCAACATCCTCCTTTTATATGTATTTTACACTCCAGTAACATCTCTTAATCTTCAACACTTATATATGACCTATTTGAGTTGCAAGTGCCATAAAACTCTTATTTATACTAAAACTAATTCCATGGATAGATGGCCAGAGAGAGTGAGGAGTTTGAAGTGCCAGAATTCCCTGCCAAGCAGACGATGGCAGAAGTGAGTCCGACATACCTGCAGGATCAGAAAGATGAGAAACACAAAGCTATCCAGGGCATGGAGGCACAGAACAGATGGAAGGTTCTGGAACATGGAACTCCAGACCACGATGTGGCTCAGCTGAAGGTCTGTTGAGAAAAATCGAGAAAAGATATTATAACTTAGGTACAATATTTAAAAGAATGAAACACTTTTTTCTCTTTCTTGAAAAAACGCACTTTCATATAACCTTGTAAAGTTGCGAGCTCCATAAAAGTCTTACCAAAGCAAACATCTCCTGAAAAGTCTTGCTTTGGGGCTTAGTACAATTGAAGTAACAGCTTGCTAATGATTTCTTTCTTTAGTTTTACTCTGTAAGAAGTAGAAGTACAGTCAAAATATTCTCAGATAACCCATTGTTGAGGAGAAAAGTGGCCATCTTACGTAGTGTTATTACAGTCGACTCCACTTGAGTTGAACTTGCTTGAGCTGATCTTAGGGTTAAGTCAATCTTTTCCTTCAGTCCCAGCACCTCTTCTTTTTTACAGATCCAAATGGTCAAGTTTAAATTCGGATGAGCAGATCTTTTTTTACTCCCACGGCAACATCCACTATCTGTAGCCGACTGTATAATGTAAACAACATGCAAGAGAGGAAATGAAAAGTGGCCATTTGTACTGGAGATTATCTTATACAGGTGGCTATTAGAGCAGGTGTAAATTCATTAAATTTAATATCAACTCCCATTTTTTCTCCAACCCTTTTCAGGACAAGTACAAACTTCTGACGGACAAAGAGATGCCGTCGACTTTCTATCGGCACGAAGGTCGCTACAACGAGGAGAGAGCAGGCCTGTACAAGACGAGCTATGACCCACAGAGGCTGGCCTACTCCATGAACAACCAGCAGCAGAGTGGCGGGGTCTTGTTCAACACCAGCGCCTCTCACATGGAGGCCAGCCAGTACCCAACTGTCACTTGGGACGAGAACGAGGCTGCGCTCAAGGGGAGGTAAGAAGGGGGGGGGGGGAGGGGGATGTTATAGTGGGCATGGTTAAAGTCAAGGTTAAATTCCCCTCTCATGTTTGTCTTCACATATCATGATGATCACAGCCCTTGTGTTTCCTGTTCCTGTTGGACATGTTATAGTTGCAACCTTCACTGTAAAAAATGGTGAAATGGTATGGGTTTAATGCCCCTATCAACACTATTAGGCTATTTAAGAGGCGGGATCTCCGAGTTTAACATCCAGCTCCGAAAGGACTGAGCCAAGTGGGAAATTGTGTAAAATGCCTTTCCCAAGGACACAACGTTGGACCGAGCTGACGCTCGAACCCCCAAACCCTCAATCTCATGATTACGAGTCCGGTAGCCTAACCACTAGGGGGGGGCGCTTTTTGCTCTTGTGGCAAAAATGTTTTTGGGTCCAGGTTATTTCCTCTTTCCATGCAGTAAGCTGATGTATCCAGCATACCGGGAACTGACCGACCAAAAGTCTTTTCCTGTCTCTTCTTGGGATAGGTCGGGTTTTGTAGAGACATTTAATCTTGCATGCCATAATGGTTTACTCAAATTCTGACTACAACCTTCTTTCCTATCAGATGTCTAACATCATTATCTCTCTTCCTTCTTTTTCATGATTGTTGCTCTCTTGTAACACTTCTAATCTTCAACACTTTTATGACCTAATTGTGTTGCAAGTGTCGTTAACACTTTGCAGTACAAAATACCCCATCTGGTCACCCAGCCAAGAGAGTGACTGCAACGGACTTCTCAGGCCTGGCGCACTCAGGTGACCGGAATGGATCATTTTCTCCGCCGCATTATTGCACTTAGTGACTGCAAAGTGTTAAACTCAAACTAAAACATAAAATGATTCCAACCTTCCACAGTCGCACGGTTGTTTTCAAGAACTCTGAGCTGAGCGGTGACCGACCATCGACCAGTGACATGTTGAACCCATACAGAGAGACGGTTGCTATACAGAGAGCAAGTTTACAACCTTCTGTGGCATCTGCCAGGCCAAGGGTGCAGGTACACGGAGATTGCCTCTTTTTGGAACTCTTTGGAAGAAAAAATTACTGTGTTTTCTCTAAAGGAAAAACTATTGTATCTTCACAGGAGGGAAATTTTTATATTTTGTCAGGAATAAATTCTTGTATCTCAGCAGGAGAAAAAATGTGAGGCATCGTGGTGAAATCAGGCGCTTGTCGAAATGATGAAATCAAAGATACCGGCATTTTCCGGCTGGTTGGCAATTTTTATTTTAAAAAGTTTTTTTTTTGTTTTTTTT